AGCACCAAATTTTTGAGATGCTTGAGGCAGTGTTCGCCGATAAGTGGTCAACCAATGCGTTCATCATCTTCTTTGACGTTCTGTACTTTTTCGACTAAGTTTTACGTTCGCTCTGAAAATTGCCGGGCAAAAGAAAAAGAGAAAAGAAAAGCTTTTTCACTATTTTGGAAGCAAAAAACTTTGGGCAACTTCTTCGCTGAGCGTTTCCACTCAATTTGAAAATCGAAAAACGCACATGTCAGGTGAAAGCAAAGTCAAGTCGCAAGCTGCTGAGAATATTAAAATAAAATTTGACGCAGATGTCAGAAAAGAAAATAAATAAAAATAACTCTCACGCCTTTGTTTAAGTCCTTGCAATTTGAATGATTTGAATGGAAAAGTTTGACTACGTTTTGATCGGAGTAATATATTCATTTAGCTTTTATCTCTTTCATTTACTTATCCTAACGATGTGAAATTAATTATACTATTTATGTTATTTTATTAATTTTTCCCATAATTATAAGAAATCATAAAATGCAAAAACTTACTTACAACGATAACAATAACAACGACATATAATATATAAATGAAATATAAAACAAAAAACCAGGCGAGACAAACGCATAAACAGACAAACAAGCACAGGTAGAGAGGCAAGCAAACAGGTAGTAGATAAGTTAAGCTAAAGTATAGTTAGTTAACGATGGCCAATTAACTGAAAGATTATTGTTACTATTGTTAGAAATGATTATTAAAAAATTAAAGAAAATATTGTAAGAAAGTAGAAATTAAAAAAAAGAAAAACTGATTTAAAAAAAAACAGCAAAAATTAATACGAAATTAAATTGAAATAACCGACATAATGCAGAGCCTAAACATAAAATATATGTCTGCGTCCAACAACAATAACAGTAACAAATTAGAGTAACAACAATTGCAATTGAAAGCATATGAGCATACACTTAGCATTCGTTCAGTCAAAAAAGTAAATAAATAAATAAATAAATACATAAAGCAATAGCAAATGTAGCAACAACTATTGTTTGCATATATGCGCTTAAATACATATATTCATCGTGCATTCATATATTCATGTATGCATGCGTATGTACGTGCATGCATGCTAGCAAGCATGCTAGCAAGCATGCATGTATTATATGAATAAACAGTTGATCTAATTTCTATAGTAAACCGAATATATGTTAAGTGTTGGGGAGGGAGCCTTGGTTTCTTAAATGCACACATACACAAACAGACGCGTACAGATGTTTTACTAGAAGGCATAAAAGAATTACAGTTAGTTAAAATTGACGTTGTGCAGTGCATGTGCCTTGGATACAAGCATATGTATACATGTGTATGTATGCCTGTGTGTGTATGTGTGTGTTCATGTATTTATGTGTGTGTTCATGTATTTATGTGTCTGTCTGTCTGTCTATCTGTCTGTATGTGTATGTACGCGTTCACACATATTTATATTTATGATTTATTAAAATAATGTTAAGCAATACCTACAAAATAAGAAGAAGAAAATGTTATTATTAAGCCGAGGCAGAAATACTTTCAAGTTGAAATATTTAAACAATAACTATTATGTCTATCTGTGAATGCCTTGTCAGCCGTCTTTCTCGCGTTATGTCTTACATGACGGAGCTGCTACTCAAAATAACGAGCGCTACTCCCACAATTCCCCCGTCTTCGGTAACAGCCTAACTGTAAATTGATAATAAATTGTTGTTTAAGTGAATTCAAGTTTTTTTTTTTTTTTTTTTTTTTTTTTTTTTGCTTTATTTCGTTTATACATTAATATTTTATTTATTTATCTATTTTTTGTTTTTTAATTTTTTCTCCTTTTTTGTTTTTTTCTCAAAACATTTCCATTGAATTGTGAACACAACAACGATGGGAGATCAAAACTCTCAAGTGTGTTAATAATGCTCATTTATGGACAAAGTTATTTAATCTTTCATGTACAGTAAATACAAACATTTCAAATTTGGTAATAATTAATTGCACCAAAAATAAACAATAAATACGAGCAATATGAAGAAAGTATTAATCATACGATTAGCACTAGTCTGAGGCTGTCTTAACGTTACGAGCGTAAATTTAAATTATCATCAATGATTTTTTTTTTTTTCTGTAGCCGAGCAATCATCATGAACTTCATTGAGCAAAAAAGTAAAAAAAAAAAAAAAAAAAAAAAAAAAAAAAAAAACAAGTATTTGAAATTTATCAACTAACTTAACATATATGCATTATAAATTTTTCAAAAATTAGATTTTTTTTTCTTTGCTTAACAGAAGATGCTTCTAAAATACATGAAAAAAAATTAATGAGCCGCAAAATATTTTTTCTATGAAATTTCGAATTTCTTTTTAATGCACTTCTTCTACTTTTCTTTCCATTCAGCAAAAATTGCTGAAAAAAAAAACCCTTTTTTTAGACTCTTACAGCAGTTGATCCCCTTAAGGTATTATTTTTTTTTTTTAAAACCCCGAGTGAATCTGTTTTTACAATAAAATATCTTTCAAATGATATAAAACAAAGCTTTCTTTCGTCAAATCCTTTTAATAAAAAACTCGTCTCGGCCGAAATAGAAAATTGCGTCAATTTTTATCTTTATCAATAGAGTCTATATGTGAAAAGATCTGTTGGTATAAACTTTTTATAAATTCCATAGCAAAACGAGATATAGCATATGATCCTTAATGGGAATAGGAAAAACGAATTTAAATTTGGTTTTTAAAAGATACGAATTCGTTCTTCTCTGCTATTGGCGTGGTCCTGACTCAATTCGGAACTATAACCTGATAATAGAACATTTATTTACACCTAAGTTTTTTCCGTAACGAATTGATATCTCAGAGACTGGTTCAAGTGAAACGCCTGCAACACTGACTAAGTGAATAAGCGATGCCATAACAACAAATCCAAAATGTAATCAACATTTTCGGTGTTGAACTACATGCTTAGGCGTCTTCACTGCAAATCATCACCAACGAGCCTACCATTTAGTCCATAATTTTTTATTAATTTAGCCAGCGAAACAAATTCTAAGACGAAAGTCTTAAAGCAACTAAGACCTAAGGTTATCGGCTTTATTGAAGACTTTATCGCACATGGGATTTAAAGCCGTGAAGATTGAGTTGTTAGTCAAGATCCTTTGCCTATTCGACCGCTCAAGCCACTCTTCTAAATAAGTATTTAATCAGTACAAGTCTTTCTAAAATCCTCCTCTCAGTCTTTTTTTTTTTTTAATGCTTACCCAACTTGTGGTGAGGGTGTATGTTAATCAATCGATTCAAAGGCATTTTCTGAATCTAATAGGAGAACCTATTATTTTTAAATCTATAAACAACTTTGTAACAAATTCAAGTTTTTATTTCTTACCCTATTTATAATATTATCTATCATCATTACAATTTTCGCTCAATAACCAATGTTTTGCATTCCACTTGTCCTGATCTGTCATCAAAAAATCGTTGAATGGAATCGTTGGTGGGAATAGGATTATCCTTGGAACCGCCTTCCATATACTCTTACTTACGCCTTCATAAGCCAACATGTCTCAATCTTTGATATTTTATGAGGAAAATTGATATATAGAAGCGATTTACTATTTAAAGTTCGCTAAGATCTGTTTAGACAGACTACACGGCTACATTTTTGGACTCCTCTGTTCATAAGCGTCTTTGAAATGAATGTTTATTTCCCCTATGAACGACGAAGCCATTTAAAAAATTTTATTAGACGAAGTAACCTAAGATATTTTATAATCGGCTTTGCACGGCTAAAACGTTTTAATTTGGTTTTTAAGTCCATAATTGAGAGCTTGAAGATGTATTCACTTTGTGTTTGTGCGTGTTTCCAGCACGCAGAAATAAGCTTTAGAAGAGTTATTGCGTCGTACGTAAACATTCTTAGTCGGTATGAAATTCTAAATCGATCTGGGCGGATCCAGTTGAAGACGTGCTTGAGATATCCTACAGAGTGCAAATATTTTCGGTTAATATTAAATCTCAAAGCTATGTAGATACATATCTCTCTCGCATTCTGTCTATCTATCTAGCTAACAGCCTCTCTCTTACAAGTGTACAAACATGTATTTGTGGTTAATACGGCCAGCAAGCCAAATCGGTTGAACGACCTGTTGGCGATAGACCATCCGTTGAGAAGCTCCGCTGCCACCATCTAATTTTTAAAATTATTATATAAAAAGTGCAAAAAAATCCACGCCACCCTTAAGCAATACTATAGAACATAAAAATGTAGTTTTGCCTATATTTCATTGTTTAATTTTTTCTATAAGACACAGGCGAGGACTACCCAAAATTCGATAAACCAAATATAATTATCTCATTGGTTTTGCGATCAAAGTGTTGGATTCAAACGGTCCGGCTTCATCTGAATGTAATTTATTATGATATTCGTTTCGATTAAACTCCTTTTCTAAACTTAACTTATTGGCAGATCGGTTTAAAATTTATGAGAGAAAAGAGAAGCTATTAAGAACAAGTAAGCGAGTAGTGATACTATTAACGCGTCAGTCTACGCACTTTCGGAATAACACAAATGCGTATAATGAAATTTCTTTCAGTGCTAATAACTGCGGGTCTCCTATGCAGTCGTCTAAGCGACATACTTAAGCACTTTAGATAAATGAATTCGTTATGTTAATAACCATGAGCAGCTATCAATGATGCCTGGCCTTTGTAAACGTAGTATACTACAAGTCAAATCCGGATACTACGCAATATTACGTTTTACTCTCTTCATATGCAAGTCTAGCAGCTTTTCTGCGCAAAAAAAAAGTCGGGTCACATGAAATGCGTCAACAATAAGGAAATTTAAGATTAAAATTTCATTTAATAGCAGCCTACAATTGCCTGGATTTTTCCCTGTTTTTTTTTTTAAATTTAATTTCGATTGGTTTCGGATTTAAGTTAAGAGAAATTTAAAATTTGTATGAAACTTATTTTTGCACAAAGGAAAAAATAAAAGTGATTAGTGCTTACCTTTAAACTATTGTAGGGCCTTTCAATACGCAATTTGGCCTTAATAACATCACGACTTTCTTCCTGGTGCTCATCCGGTGGCAATGAAGTCATCGACAATGAAGTCTTTATAATATTTGAACCAACACCAACAACACCATCACGATTGCCACCAACACCGCTAACAACATCGTTTATAATATCAACTTTATGCTTGTTTGTGTGATTTGGTTCGTCGCCGTTGAAATTGCAATTTCTAGTTGTAGCACGTTTTGACGTCTTATAATGTTTTTTCTTGGATGAAGAAATCATTGGTTTAGCAAATGCAGAGGAATTATGAATTGGTTGTATAATTTCATTAGAAGTGTTCAGTACTTCTAACGACATGGCCGCTAAATCAGTCTCTTGGTTGCTAATTGGATTAGAGGCAGATGTTGATATCGACGGTAGCGACATTTCTGTCTCTTTTTTAACCATCCCTGCGAAAGAATTGACCAAGTGTTCGATAATATTTGGTTGAGTGTTCCTATCTGGTTTGGGCAATGAAATCACTTACAGTCGTTCACCACATTATTATGATGGGCCAATTATATTAAGCCTTCCACGATATAATCTAGAAAGCAAATAAGAAAAAAAAAAATAAATAAATAAATAAATATATATATAATGTATGTAGGAGGTGTGAGTTATTAAATTTTACTTAAAAATAAAAGAATAACAATTAATAAGAAAATCATATTCACGCCTAGAGGGAACTGCGTTTAACTGGACTCTTTCTTTTCTAATCGCATCACAATCGAAGCGTTTTCTCTTATCCAGAGAAATTTTTCAAATGTCACAAATCGATACCTATTGCAGAGAGCTTCTTACGTTTTCATTACTTCCCAAAAGTTTTTACTTTGTGCAATAGAAAGATTCATTATAGCAAATTTGCTCATGGAAATTTCATCAAGTTTTCTTGTCCCAGTTCAAGAAGGGCAACAACAGATGGGACTAACGCCCGGACGGACGGGCAATTTCACTTTTCAAGGACGTGCTTATTCAGTAAAATTACTTATTGGGTTTCCCGAAATGTGCGAACGCAACGACACATTTAATGTACATCAAACATCGAGTATAAAGAAATTGAGAGATTTGTGAGTAGAGCTAGAGGTAAACAACGCAAGACAATAACAATTTGATGGACAAGAAAATCCATCATTTAATTACATTCTAGCCTTGTCTTTTAAAAGAGAGAGATAGAGATAGATAGACAGAGAGATAGAGATAGATAGACAGAGAGAGAGAGAGAGAGAGCGATAGAGAGAGATAGAGTGGGAGAGAGGGAGAGAGAGATAGAGGGGGAGAGAGGGAGAGAGAGAGATAGAGGGGGAGAGAGGGAGAGAGAGAGAGAGAGATAGAGGGAGAGAGAGAGAGACTTCAATTAATGGCAGACAAGTAAGCAGAAAGGTGACCGACAAATTTAGCTTGGTTTGATCGTCGCTTTGTTTGAAGCGAGGAAACACCAACCACTTCATGGTCAGAAAGTCGACAATTGAACAAGTGCCGAGACAGGCACATGACTTCGATTGATATATATATCGAACATTAACTAAGACAACATTCATCTACAAATGTAACAGAGCTTTGATCAGCTTCTTAAGCGAATCCTCGATTTGTGAAGACAACAATTTACACAACAAATAAAGAGAAGAAGGGCTCGCCAGCCCCCTCCTCCAAAAAATATGCGATTACATCGCATAACATCATTACAAAAAGATCTTATTCTCGATAATCGAAATATGCAATCACAAGGACTGACTGGCATTGTAAGGATATCGAATCAAAGATGTTGTGTTCACTATTTTCAATGAAAATTTGAATGTGAGGAATGTTTGCTTTCTCCATATAGGTACTGCATTTACTGCATCACTGTGATGATGCAATGGGAGGATTGCATGAATTAAAATTCGAATTGTTGTCCCAATAAACGTATTCTCAAGGTATAGCCCTCAGCAACATTTATCTCTTTGCAATGGATGCTGGACGGGAAGAGATTTGGATTCAATGATGCAATCATTGCGTAAACTAAAATGTATCTTGGGGATCTTGAGAAATCGTGTTATATAAAAGACATCGAAATGTTGGAGAAGTATTGATTGTATCAATTTTTAATTGGTTCTCTACTGATGAATGAAATCGAATTTTGCCAAGAGTTTCGTACTTAACTCCGGTTATTATTGTCGTATATACTGCTAACAGCAGCAAAGCGGTATGAACATTGGAAGTAAGGAAAGTCTTATAATTACTAATATATTGAGAACGCCACAAATAACAGTTATTAAGCTTGTTCCGACATTCGAAACGTATGCCTCGATGTTAAGCTCTTTACAGTGATATATCACGAGAGCTTTGTTACGCTAGTAGATAAATGTCTTTATTAATTAACTGAATTAACTGAAAATTTATTGGCACAATCGAGAGCCTTCGATATAAAATTTGCAAAAAAACAAAACAAAAAAGCAAAAGCAAAAGTTACCTTATATTCAATTAATATTCACGCAAAACCTTAAAACCTGAAATCGTAATCCCAAGGAGACAAGATGTCGCGTTACGAAGGATTTATTTAACTGAAGCGATTAGTTTGAGAATCCCGTTTAAAGCTGAAATTTCTTTAAATATCTTTTCAAGTCCTAGCATACTAGATAGGAAAGGAATAAAGAGAGACGTAGATACGTGGTAACCAACCCCTTCATATTTTTAAGAAAGAACTTAAGTTTGCTGGTCGTTAAACCGCATCAACAACACGCACACATACCATTAATTTGGCGACTTTAGTTAGAATCAGACGAAAGGGGGAGGGCGGATGGGAGATGGGGAAAAACCAAGGCACAATAATGTAACGAAAAATCGTAACAAAAGAAAAGTTAGCAAGGCCTACGCGTTCGTCAGGGAAGTAAAATAAAAAAAGGTGTTGCAAAATATTGCCGCCACCAGGTAATGGATAAACTTGAAACGAATTAAATGCAAATTAACTTCGATGACTAAATGAATAACGGGCTGACTTGGCGGTAGTTAGTCAACCTAACTAATTGAGCGACTGACTGACTGACTGACTGGCAGTTGACGGCCACTTACTCACATTTAATACATACTGCATGTAGTGTAACATGCACGTAACATATATCGAGCTCCCAATATTCACATTATCCAACTAAGAAGGAAAAAAAAAAAAAAACAACAAAAATGAAGACACATACACATGCATACACACACATACATACACAGGCGCATATATAGACACACAAATACATTCATGCATAGAGTTTTCATTTAGATTTTTGTTCTTTGTTTTTGCGGTTTCTTGAACTGCTTTTTATTATACTGTTGCAATGTATACACACAAACAAAGGAAAAAAACATGTGGAGCATTAGTTGCACATACGTATACGGGCCCTAAAAATGTAAACACAAACAACACATAAGCTATTAACTGGCTTAGTTTAGAAACATAATGACTCAAAACACAACAACTTAAGGTTTTATTTCTTTTTGCCTTTTATCTCCGCTTTTCAATGGTTTTTTTCATTTTTGTTGCTTTTTCTTTCTTTCGTTTTCTTTTTTTTTTTCTTTTTTTTTTTTTGCTACTTATGTCCGAACATTAAACATCGCATACATGCACACTGTAAAGACTGCTTTATGTGGAAGGGAAATATGTATGGCAAGGGTATCCGGACCGTTGTAGCAAAGTGTAAACAATAAATTACATATGCATACATACACGCGATTACAAACAAACATATGTAGGCATATATATATATATATGCATGAAGGTCTTCATACACATGCATACATAACATACGCAGCCATGAATGAGTCATCTACTCATAACACAATAAATTTTCATAAATGTACAAGTTTACGTACTTTTGGCAAAGCCATGAGAAAACTGAAGATTGTAGATGTAGTAGAAGTGATACATCGATCGATCAATAATTCTCGTAACTAAGTGAGAAGAAAACGTTTCTTTGTTTGCAAAATTCGACTCTATTTATGAATATAGTCTATTTCATGAGCGATACAATCGGATACAACCCTTCTCTAACAATACGATGTCTTTTCATAGCACGATTTGCAATGACCTCATCGTTGCAGCCAAACATTTCTCTTTAAAGCAACTTTCTGCACTAGCTTGGTATACCTTGCGAATATGCTATGCTGGGACAGCATTTCGAACTTGCATTCATACCATTTTCCCAGTTTGTTTCAGTGTAACTCTGTGCGATACTCATTTGGAACACGACACAGCGAAGACACTGTGCCTTTGATTTGATAACTTTAGAAGGTCTGTTCTTTCTAGTGATGTCATTTTATGATTATTTTTTTTTTCGGGTCTTTTGGGCACCCACTGCATTTCGTATTAGTGGTTTTCGTAGAACTTCTATTAAAAATTCCTTCTGTTGCTTATATTTTTATCTGCGATTGAAGGACAAAATTAAAGTTTGCAGATCAACTCAGGGTATGCAGTGTTCTTGCATTCATTATTCAAACTTTTATCGAGCGAAACGATTGTAAGAAGAAGACTGGAAAGTAGTTCTAAAGTAGTTTGCAAGTTGATGTGAAATTTATTTGTTGTTATTATAGTGGTTGTAATTTGTTGTTCAATCGATCAAGGAATGTTTGTAGCAAATTTCAGCTTTCCACATTCATCGTTACGACTATGACCTTTGGTATATAGAAAATGTCGGTCATTCTAGTGTTAATCAATACCTTCACTATTCATGAAAAGCAACTTTAGTTTTCAAAATATTGTTCTTTGAAATGTGTCTTAAGGCGAATGTTTAGTCTTTTGCTTATGGTTTTTAGAAAATTAAACCGTATAATTGGATAGATGAAGTAAATAGAGAGAAACGTTTGCTTACGATCTGTAATTTTGTGAAAATCGTTTTAAATAAAAAAGTTGTTCTCTTGCACAACTTTTTTGAAATTTTAATCGAAAAATTTTAATTACATTTCGCGCTATCGTCTTAAATTCTTTAAAAGAATTTATTTAGCAGCAGACTTAAATCATTTTTAAAAACATTAAATAAATTTCCAGCAAAGTAATTATAAATTTTTGTCGACCGTAACAATTGATACGATTAAGCATTAATTAAAATTAATAAAACATTTAATGTAGAATTACAAAGAGATGAAAGCATTTGTATATATAAAGTGGAGTATAATTCTCGAGGAGGGATGAAAACCACTATCGAAAAATAAAAGTTTAAAAAAATCAAAAAAGAAAAAAAATTATTTTTATTGAAAACACTTTAAATTTAACGACATGGCACAAAGAGCCTAACAAATGTGAGAAAAACTAAAATGGGATAAGAAAAGAAGACAAAAAAAACACAAAACAAAACAAAACAAAACAAAACAAGAAACGAACTCAAGCCTTGTAATCAACCCAAAAACAGAGTTTCTCAAACTACTTGCTGTCTAAACAACTGGATCGTAAACAAAAAGTGTATAAAAAAAAAAAAAAAAAAAAAAAAAATTACAAATTAAATGCGAAACAAACTCAGTGCAGCAAGTCAACAATACATTGTACAGCAGCAATAGCGGATTATGCCATCTACGCAAGAACCTTTG